GAAAAGGATCTCGGGGCAGAGAAGTGATCGGATGCAGAACTCGGTGAGATTTGCCTTCATTGCAAAGACCCTGATAATGCTGCCTAATTAGTAATTACAGAGAAGAGGTCTCCTCCATCGGTCGTCGTGACGCTGGTGCTATTACCTGTGGTGGACACTGAATTCTCCAGTCGCTGCATATTGCTTTGTTCCGGCAGGTGGCTGGCTCTGATTCTTCTTTAATTGTAAAAATGGCTGTGAAATGCCGCATTGGGTTTGTAGTGATCCTAAAATTACAGAAGCTCCTATCTTAATTCCTAGAGCTTGATTTGTAGTCCTATTCCTCTACCCCCCACCCTTTCAATCTAGTTCCTTCCTACTTAATTAAACCTTTGGTCTTGCTTTATTTTAAAGAGCATGTACAGGTGTGAAAATAAATATGCTAAGTACCCCAAAGAGACCCCTGTTAAGGCAAGCTGTAAGATAGAAAAGTGAATCCAAATATAACAAGAAGTCCTTGGGAATCTATTCTTTATACAGATGTGACCTGCAGTTTATAACATTAAATCCTGAGATGTTAATGGTGCATCTTGCCCCTGTGCAAAGCCTAATATCACCTGGCTTAGGCAGTTGAAATAAGAGGGGCTGGCCCTGCTGGCTGGAGAGGACTTCACCCACAGCCTTTCCAAATGCAAGGTGTCAGAAGAAATTGCTTATTGCACCCAGGCCCCTGAAAAAAATCATCAAATTTACCAAATATATCTGGATGTACTTGGATTTTGAATGGGTAGGGTTCATATGTGCAAGACTTCATGGCTGTGCAGAAAGGCTAGACGCTTGCCATTTCTTTCTTAGTGAAAGCTGAGATTCCTCTATGAGACACCAGGGAGATGGTGCTTGTATTAAAATTACAACTGCAAAACTCAGGATTAAAATAACAAAAGAGCTGGCAACCTTGCCCCTAGCAGGAGTACACTCTTTAGCTATTGTATTACTACTTAAAATACACCTTAAAATCCCAACCCTCTGGAAACTAGGAATGGATCTCAGTGATGCTTTGAAATGGGCTTGAAATCCATACAAGGAGAAAATCCGGTCTAATATCAATGTGATCATGAGGAGGGGGGTGGTCAGGCAATAATAGTCAAGACTCAAAACCTGTTTGATTTTAATCTGACCTGATTTCCTCACAAAATGTTGGACGCCTGTCTAAGAACCGCAACATTTTTAGGGCGTATCAAGCAGGGCAACCAAAGCCACTAGTTACACTCAAAATTTGTGGCCAGAGCTTACTGGAAGTGTTGGTGAATTACCAGCCATCTCTTCTTATCTTCCTCCTCTCCCTCATCCCCACGAGACCTGAGGGCAATAATAACTTCCTTTGATTCACCGTGCCATTAACCGTCTATTATTCTGCTGAGCTAGCCGTGTTTGGTTGCATGACAGACAACTTGTTTCCCTGCTTTCCTTCCATCTGCCAGTTGCAACTGCAGTTTATTTGCTTTACTTGCAAAGCATATGATATGTCGAGAAAAGATGTAATGAAATCAGTGAGAGTCCCTGGAGTGCACTTGAATTGATTTATTAATTTGCCAGCCAACCGTAAAATATCTATTAGAGCTCCAGGCAGGAACCTGCACTGAATGCTATTTCTGCTCGTCTTTTTGCCTGCTCCCAGCTGTCCTAAAGTGGGGGGG